AGTGCCCAAAAACTGCCCTGCCCCCCTCCTGCTCACCCGCCTCCCCATCCCACTCCACAGGGCCACCTACCACCTCCATGGCCCGTCGCAGATCACCCAGGCGGTCCTGCAGTGCCATGGCAGCCACGGCCTCCACCTGCACCCTACAGCATCATCTGCATGCGACGGGGTGCAAGAGTGGAGTCTTGTCCCCACTGCCCGGCTTCTATGTCCTTGGCTGAGCTGCTGCGTGCGGGCCATACCCAGGGGCGATTCTCCTCCGGGTGGCTGCTGGGGAGGAGGGGACCGCAGGAGAGGTAGGGCTGGGGCAACGGCACGTGTGCCCATAGAGAGGGCTCAGAGTACCACCTCTGGCACGCATGCCATAGGTTCGCCACCGCTGATCTAGGACCATTCATTTCTACCGCGAGCCACAAATTTTCTCCAACACAGCAATATATTACAATGCATCACCAGTTTACTTTCAGTTCTAAGAAGTCTGGCTGGTACTGGCATCCTTTCTAAGGGAGTGAAGCTGGAGGGAGGTGAGCCGAGGTGGCGCAGCAGTTAGAGTGCAGTATTGCAGGCCACTTTAGCTGACTGTGTTCAGCAGGTCAGCGGTTCAAATCTCACCGGCTCAAGGTTGACTCAGCCTTCCATCCTTCCGAGGTAGGTAAAATGAGGACCCAGATTGTTGGGGGCAATGTAAATATATATATACATTGCTTACTAGTGTACACCGCTTAGAGAGTGCTTGCACTTAAAGCGGTATATAAGTCTCATAAATAAATAAATAAATCCAAAAGGATGTCTTTCCAGTAGGAGTACTGAGGGGGTCCTCGGGGACTGGAGGAGGCTTGTAGCTGAGTGCTATTGTTTCTACATTTTAGATACATTTGTCACATTTATGCCTACTGTTTTTACCATCTTTTTTTTTGCCAAAAAAAAAAAAAAAAAGCAAGCCTTAGGGTAAGCTTTAGCAAGGCCCAAAGGTTTTTGCAGTAATTCACCACAATTTGCCAACTGTACCTGTCAGGCTTCTTGACCAAATGCAGCACAGAATAGTTAATAGGCTTCTTGACCAAATGCAGCACAGAATAGTTAATGAAACTGACTTATCTTTGATGTCTTCTTCTGCTTGTCAGTTGTGATTCATTTCATGTAGAGTGCCTTTGAAATAATAATAAAGAAAAACAATGTTGCCAAATGACACCTGATATTCAGAGACTAGAAACCAATACAACAATTTTACAATGGGGCTTTTATGTGCTTTATCCTACATGTGAAAGAAACAAGATACAATGAATTGGAATGATGTACCCTTGAGAATATCTCAGACCACAGATTTTTACTGTTCCCCAAAAAACCTGTTCCAGGCCCAGGTGTTACTCTTGCTCTCCAGGAACAGGAAAGTATCCCTAAAATTCCTTCAGGCTCCAAAAGTTTACTTTCCTGCAAGGAAGTTAGGTCAGCTCATGGACCTGAAGAAACCTTAGTTAATTTTTGCCTTTAGTTCCTTGAAGTAGCTAGTCCTCTTCATATTTTGCTTCTTTTAACAATTTGAATCTTGGCTAGAATTACGTCAGGTTCCAAGAATTGAATTTATTCCTGAGGAAGGTCAGCTCCTGGACATGAAGTAATTTTAGATAACTTTTGCCTTAGCTGAAGTAACTAGTCCTTTACATATTTTGCTTCTTTTAGAGTAGATTAGACAATGAAAGGGTAGGGGGGGAGTAGGGGGAAAGGGAATAAATAGGAATAGAATAGGCTTTATTGGCCAAGTGCAGGGGTAGGCAACCTTGGCTCTTTTATGACTCGTGGACTTCAACTCCCAGAATTCCTGAGCCAGCCATGCTGGCTCAGGAATTCTGGAAGTTGACATCCGCAAGTCATAAAAGAGCCAAGGTTGCCTATCCCAAGTGTGATTAGACACACAAGGCCTTTTTTTTAAGAACTTGAGCCTTCACTAAAGTTACCTCAGGCCCCAAGAATTCACTTTATTCCCAAGAGCAAGGTCAGCTCCTGAGGCAATTTTATCTTTAAAGCTATTTTTAAAACTGAGTCGCTGTGATTTGATCCTTTTAACAGGACATGGCTGAGATTACCTCAGCCAATATTTTACTTTAAGAACTAGAGTTTTGGCTAGAATTACCACAGGTCCCAAGAATTTTTATTTCTCAGAACAAGTAATTTTGGTTAACTTTTGCCTTTACTTGAAGTAGCTAGTCCTCTATATGTTTGAATGGAATGGAATAGAATAGGCTTTATTTGGCCAAGGAATTTAAGAACTTGAGCCTTGGTTAAAATTATTTCAGGTCCCAAGAATTGATTTTATTCAAGAAAGGAAGGTCAGCTCCAGGGACTGAAGCAATTTTACCTTTAAAATTATTTTTTAAATCTGATTCACTGTGGTGGTTTGGTCCTTTTTAACAGGACATGGCTGAGAATATCTCAGCCAATATTTTATTTAAAAAACTTGAGGGCTAGAATTATCTCAGGTCCCAAGAACTGACATTATTTCTGAGAGCAAGGTCAGCTCCTAGACCTGAAGTAATTTGAATTAACTTTATTCAAGAAAGTCAACTTCAGGGAGTGAAGCAATTTTGTCTTTAAACTAATTTTATTGCTTATTCACCTGTGCTAGTTTAACCCTTTTAACTGCACATGGCTAAAATTGCCTCAGCTTTATTCCTCCTAAGCTGATTTTAACTTAACTCACCTGTGGTGGTTTGGTTCTTTTAAAAGGGCATGGCTAAGACTGCCTCAGCTTTATTCCTCCTAAACTGATTTTAATTTCCTCACCTGTGGGGGTTTGGTCCTTTTAAAAGGACATGGCTAAGATTACCCAGACTCCACCAATATTTTACTCCTTAAAAACCTGAGCCTTGGCTAAAATTATTCCGGACCCAGAAGTCTGCCTTATTCCCTGAGAGAACCGCTTGGTGGGACTGAGTAACTCACCATAGGTGAGCTGTAAGTATTGGAGTCCTTTAAATAAGACACCGTTGAGACATTACCTCAGCCACCACTGGCGTTTTACCCCTAAGAACAAACGCCGCGGTTAAAATTATCGTAGGTGATACCCTTACTCCCCGAGAATAGGCTATTAATTAGCTCCCCTCCGTCTCCCACAACGCCTAAGAATTTTAAATAGAATTACCTCAGAGCGCAAAAGGCCAAGTCCCGGCCTAAAGCGCGAGGTCTTGGGCCGCGGAGGCGCAGTGGGGAGAGACTTTTTGCTCTCCCCGGCCCCGCAGCATCGTCTCTTTAAGGAACAAGAGACAGCGTTGGAGCGGCGTCTACTGCTTTCGCAGCGCACTCGCTCTTTTGCCTCAGCGTGAGGAGCCCGCCGGCTTTTTAAATTGCTCCCGCCCCTCGGCCGCTCAGCCAATCCGAGGAATGGGTTTCCAAAGCAGCCAATCGCTGTCGAGGTGGGTATGGAGAAGGGCAGGGAGGCGGTCGGAGAAGCGCTTGGCGGGAAAGGCGCGCGCGTCTCACCTCGGCAGGGGTCCGAGCCGGCTCGCGGAGCGGTTGCCATGGAGACGGCGGGAAGCAGCGCGAGGCGGCTCATCAAGGGCAGGTGTGCCGCAGCCGCACAGGTGAGGGCGATTAGAGGCTGGCACGCGGTCTGTGCGAGCGTGTAATGCCTTCTCCTCCAACCTTCGCCCCACCTGGGGACTCTTCGCCCTGCCCGGGGACCCTCTCTCTAGACTACAAATCCCATCCGCCAGCCAGCCGGCGGTCGCCCCTTTTGCACGGGGTGGCTTTAGCTTTTCTTCGGTTGGAGGCTGCCTTCTCCACCCCAGCCCTGCAAAGGCGCTGGTTTTAAATTATCTCTATCATCTTTGCAAAGGGGATTGGAGGACTGAGAGATCACTTGGATTTATACTGGGGATGTTTTGGATTACAAATCCCATCAGCCACCTCTAGGGTAAGGGTGTTATAAAGAACATCCCTTCTTGCAACAGAGAACAAAAAAATTAAACAGGTTGCCCCCCTCAAAATACTCATTGCTTAAAGGAAATCTGAACATTTAATAAAAAAATAAAATTATGATTTTATGCACACACACACACACAGAGTGTAGGAGATGCTGTGGACTGCATATCCCATTAGCCAGCTTTGTGGGGTGGGGGTTGATGGAGATGACCTCTCTTGCAATAAATTGCCCCACTACACGTTGGGTCCTCCGTACCTAAAATTCAAGCCCCTTCTGTATTTTTGTGTTTTGTTTGCATCTTCCCCACCATTTTCTTGCCAAGCAGCTCTTGATTTTATTTTGCTATGGAAATATTGAATTTATCTTTTCCAGTTTCTGACTTTGCTTGTCAAAAGATCACAAAAGGTGCAACCATCATAAAGACAAATCAGTTGCCAAGCATTCCAATTTTGATCATGGGACTGCTGCCGTGGTCATAAGTGATCATTAAAATGAAGATGCAGATTGTTAGGGGTATACAGGTATCCTATGAGGTTCTAGAGTGTGGTTACCCTGAAACTCTTCCACCCTCCTTCCAGATTGGTACTGTGCAGTCTTTTAATTTGGGACTCTTTCTGGGAAGGCTTTTGAGATGGACCAATCCTTCCCCTTGGCTGCTGCAGATGCACATTCTATCCCATCAGCCACATGAAACATGATGACTATTTTTTAAGACTAGATTATAACATTCAATTGCAAATATGCCCACTGGCTTATAGGATGTGGAGTCCCCTGTTCTAAGCCATTAACTGTGTTTTACAAGTTGCAATAGCTATGTGGAAAACAGACATGATGGCTTAGATAAGTTGATTCCTGATTTTTCTAGTTAAAAAGCTTTGAAGCAGCAGTGGGGTGCGGAAAGCCTGTCTGGGTGGATTAGGTTATACTTCCTGGGTTCTGATTTTGCATTTAGTCTGAATGTGGTTTGTTAAGGCTTGTTTGTTTGGTCAATAATATTGTAGAAACACCATCTAATGAGGAAAACAATGATGTCTCTTTCCTGTTTCATCTCCCTTTTGATATTGTCTTCTTTGTTCTTCAGTTTTTTTGTATGCAACTCTAAATTCTACTCTGGAGAAAAACTGAAACTGATATTTTCTTCTCCGGGAACTGAAGGAGTTGGCCTGGGAGCATCAGAATCTGCTGGCGTTGCAATTAGGTAAGTTTATTATTCATTAATTTATGTAGCCATCCATTTCACATATGTGACTCTGAAAGACATGCAAAAGTCAATAACACAAAACAATACAACACACTCACAAAAAGAAGAAATAACAAAATCATTTTGTTAGATGCTAGGTCTCAACCTATGACCGAGAGGTCCTGACCTTTGACCCAGGGGGCATCTTTGATTCTGGGATCCCAATCTTAATGTGGTCATTAAGAATCACTTGATGGCACATACTTAATCTGTACATTGTGCTGTGCTCCATATATGCAGAGCCTAAGAACAGCCCTTTGCAGAGCTAAAAGACTTACTGCTAATTTGCTTGGAAAGGTATTAATCAACAGGAATTATCCAGCTTCCACAAGTTAGCAGAGAAAAATGAGCTAAAAGCAGAGTAGCAATTGGGTTCATGCGCTGTGTTAAGCCATGGCTTATTTTAACCAATATGTATTATATAAAACTCAATGGCCTGGATCAAAGCAAAGTGGTCAGCATCCAACATGTCCGCTTCCCTTTTGATTCACTTGAATCTGTGTTGGATATCCATTGCTCTTTGACCGTGTCATCACTGCAGTCCTGTTGCTTTTTTCCCCCCTTCTCTTCAGTATATTTTGCACCGTACCTTTTTCAAAAGCCCTGCTATGCAAACCCTTATTCAAAGGAATAAACAAAAGCGAGTTAAAGAAATTAAGGATAGCTTATTGATGTACTTATTTATTTGTTAAATGTATTTGCCACCCATGGGAGAGGGCTACTCTGGGCAACACGGAGCAATAAAACGGGAAAAATAATAAAAAAAACCTAAACATAACAGCAAAGCAATAAGAAGAGACTGGACAGCCATTTGTCCAAAATGGTATAGGGTTTCCTGCCTGAGCAGGGGGTTGGACTAGATGACCTCCGAGGTCCCTTCCAACTTATTATTATTAAAACAATAAAGAAGGAAAGCACAATAATACAAATCAAAAGAAGGGCAGCTTATGGTGCATAACACCGCTCCGCTTTTGCAGCAGGCGTCCCCAGGTGCTTAAACTCGCGCTAATTTGACTCCATCCCAGCGCTGGAGCAAAAGCCCTTGAAGAGAAACAGACGGCGGCGCCTTTAAGAGAAACAGAGAGGGAGGGGGGAGGGAGCAGAAGCAGCTCGCGCCGGTCTTTGTTCCGCCCCGCCCCGAGCATTAGCGCACGCGCAAAGCGCTCCGCCCTCGCGGAGGGAGGAGGAGGTGGCCGGCCGGGCGCGCCGCCGCCGCCGCCGCCGGTGTCGGGAGCGAGCCAGCGCGAAGCCCGGCGAGGCGCCGCGGCCCTCCTTCGCTTCTTCTCGGTCGCCGGCCGAATCGCACGTGAGAAGGGGAGGAAGGAGCGCCGACAGACACGAGGTGGGCGTGGGGAAAGGGAGAGGGGTGGGGAGGGGGGGAGGGCTCACTTGGCAGGTGGCCGTGTGAATGCGTGTGCACGTATTGGTGGGTGTATACGTGTAACGTCTGTGCCCCATCTCCCTCTGTATCTCCTTATGCCTTGAGTAGGGACCGTGCGTCTACAGATGTCGCTGTCTAGACTTTTGGGCCAAACGTGTCTTGGTCCCTACGTGGGTAGATGTGCATTTGTATACCCAGGAGATTCAGTACAGACGTATTTAGGGGCTGATGCTGTGATTTACAGGTGTGGGATCTAAAGAAGGACCTGCCTCTGAGCCACGGCTTTTGTGCCGCCTTGGTGAGCTTCCTAGGTCAAAGCTACGCATGGGCTTCTTAGGGTGCCTTAACGCAAAGCACCCCCTGAGTGCCAGGGGTCCTAAAGACACACACACACACCCCGTTTGCAGGGATTGCTGTCCAAGGCATCTTTGAATGAGCCAAATCCTGTTTTAAAACAGGGCTGTAAGGCTTTATGCCAGTCTGAAATGTTGATAATAAAGATCTTGAGTCGTTCCAGTCTGAAGTCTGATTGGAGTTTGCTTTGGTCGTAGATATTTAATCGATGGAGCAAGTGGTCTTCTCTTTGTTACCTTCTTGGCCACTGTCTCTCTAGGTTGGATCATGGAGTAGTAGGACAGTGGCTTCACTCTTATTTGAGAGAACAGAGCTTTTACAAAGCAGCGTGTTTTGTGGAAGGGGTCAGTTCAGAGCCCTGTGGCCATTGTTAGCCAATGTTAATCCTTCCACATTCCCCATTTTGTTGGTATCTACAGGAAGCTGTGCTGGGTAAAAGCCTTTGGCAGGTTGGCCTGAGATATCATTAATGCAGGGCTGAGACACAGCTCCACCTTTGTTTGTTCTCTGTGGGTCCAAAAAGAGAGGGTGAGAATCTGAAAGGGAACAGATCTATACTAGCAGGATTATCTGCCTCTGTGCTAATTTCATTCACACAATATCCAATGCATATGTGAATTCGTTAAAGGAAATGCTGGCAGTGCATACAGGTAGCCCTTGACTTATATCAGTTCATTTAGTGACCTTTTGATGTTACAACAGCACTGAAAAAGTGACCCATGACCATTGTTCACAGTTATGAACGTTGCAGCATCCAGATGGTCACATGATTTACATTTGATGCTTGACAACTATTCACATTTATGACAGTTGCACTGTCCTGGACTCATGTGATCCCCTTTTCTGACCTTCGAACAAGCTAAGTAAATGGAGAAACCAAGTTCACTTAACAGTGTTACTAATTTAAGAACAGCAGTGATTCACTTAACAATGCAGCGAGAAAGTTATAAAATGGGGCAAAAGTCACTTAAGAAACTTTTCACTTAGCAACATAAATTTGGGCTCGGTTGTGGTTTGAGGACTATCTGTATTGCACGTGGGCAGGATTCATATTTAAAAGTATATAGAAAGGCAGTCAAATTGAGAAGCTTCATCAAAATTGGATGTTGACCCTTTATGTTAAATAGAAAACTAGCAAATAAAACTTTGCGAATGATCCATTTTCTTCCCTCCCCCCCCCCTCTTGTAGACACGATGGATGAAAAAAGATGCTGAAGAGATCAGATACTCTTTGGGAGCTTTGCCCTGGGGGACTGAAGTGCGAAAGGAACACAAAAAATGAAAATGCTTCCCGGTGTCGGGGTATTTGGGACTGGGAGCTCAGCCCGTGTGCTGGTTCCTTTGCTGAGAGCAGAAGGCTTCTCCATTGAGGCTCTTTGGGGCAAAACGGAAGAGGAAGCCAAACAACTAGCTGAGGAAATGAACATTTCCTTCTACACGAGTCGAACAGATGATGTTTTGCTGCACCAGGATGTCGATCTGGTTTGCATCAACATTCCCCCACCGCTCACGCGACAAATTGCTGTGAAGGCTCTAGGTATGGTGTTTTTCCCATAGCCAGTTTTGGGCATTGTATAAGATTCAGCTTTCTCTTGGGTGGACGCCAGCTGGAAGATGGTCACAGTTGTTGAGTAATTAATAGCAGAAAATTGAACATTTCAGCCTGGAACAAATTGTGTCAGAGAACTGGGAATTCTCTTGTTAAAAACCCTCATGCTTGGGTGAATTTTCAGTTGGTAAAGTAAAGGCCCGATGTTTGTTTCTAGCCACAAACGTGGAAGATTATTGTTACTCCAAAAAGATCAGATCGCATGAATCTCCCATGGGGGGGGGGGGAAATGATTACACCACCTCAGGCCCTTGCAGATAGATCGATTATGGGGAACACAGAGAAAAAAATTAATACATAGAACATTTCCTGCAGAGGCTCAGATTCTTACATATGAGCTTGTAAATTATTAGGCTCTAGGGCAGGCATGTCAAACTCGTGACATCACGCAACGTGTCACGACTTTTTCCCCATTGTCGACAATGGGATGGGCGCGGTTTCAGTATGATGCATCCGGCCCGCGGGCCAGCAGTTTGACATGCCTGCTCTAGGGCAATTGCTTGTGCCCAGATACGTTTCATTTCTGGATTGCCTTTTAGTGGGGGTTTTGTTGTTGTTGTTTTTTGCTTTTATGGGTTCAATTTTCTGATAAACATGTTTGCTTTTCCTAGGGTGGATTTATTAAACCAAAATGTATTGGGAGTAGAGAGGTTTTTGTTCCCATTTTTGACAGCCAGCCAGTGTTAATACTATCCTACTTCGTTTAAACCCGAACTACAGGTAGTCCTTGTTTAGCAGCCCACAACTGGGACCGGCAACTAGATCAGGGTGTCAAACTGCCGGCCCGCAGGCCAGATGCGTCACACCAAAACCACGCCTACCCCATTGTCGGCAATGGGAAAAAAGTCGCGATACGTCACGACTTGTCATGTGACGTCGCGGGTTTGACACCCGTGAACTAGATCATTAAGCAAAGGGTGGCTAAGTGAAACTGACTGTGCTTTCAATCTTACTACAGCTTTCCTCTGCTTTACAGACCTGCAAAAGTTGTAAATGTAAGGCTTGGTCACAAAATTACTTTTTCATCCTCATAGCTATAAACAAATGCTATACAAGGTAGTCACTAAAATAGGACTGCCTGTATTTCTGTATGGATTTATTTTGATGAGGATTGATACAAGGCGAAACTTTTCTAAGTTTCAGTAACAATATTGTTGCATGGTCTTTTCCTTGTCAACATAGCAAAAAAATAGTTATGTTGACTGTTGAAGGAGTATTCAGGATGCTTGCTTCCTACATTTATACAAAAGTTATATATTTCAGGAGCAATATAAGCTGTTTTAATTCTTGGCTTGAGTCGGCTTTTGCTGACTTCCTAGTGCAATTCTCTGAATGCAGGCTTGTACTCCTACTCAAGATGAATTCAGCATTCCATCCTTGCTGTGTCTGGCAATATTTTCTGCCCAATGCCTGGGAGAACAGCCAGGTCTTCAAAGTCTTTCAGACTGTCTCTGGGTTGCCTAAATAGTGCAATTCGATAGCTGTTTCTCGGGGTATTTTTCAGCAACCTCATCCCTGCAAATTGCGAACATTATTCTGGCGGTTGGCCTATCCAGCACTATAATCAGGAAGGTTACTTAATAATTTATATTCTTCTTAAATAAAACTGAAGTAATGTCCCAGACCTTCAGAACAAAAATGCTTTTTTTTTTTTTTTTTTTACAGAAGGGACATCTTCTGTGTAGGACTGAATTAACTTTACATGTTCTGAGAAGTTCTAAAGGATAAAATTATAAATCTGCATGTTTCTGTAGCTGGGCTGAGCACTGGGAATCTACAAAGACTACAACAACATCTTAACCCTTAAATGATAGAATGAACTAACTTCAGATATCCTGAAAAATTCTTCATGGCCACATTTCTTGCTATCAATCTAACTCACTGCTATAGCATGTATTATAAAAACAAGCAGACAAGTTCATTTTTCATGGATGAATTGCTAAAAATAACCAACCTTGCTTCCTGTTGAATCGGCACAACCAGTTTAGGAGCCTCTTAAGTACTAAAAAGATGTTAGGAGGAATAGAGAAAAAAATATAAATGAAATGTGTATTGTCATGTGTAAAAGTAAAATAAAAACGAAGTTGGCTAGTTGCAACCGCTCCGTTTTTGAAGCCTTTGTTTTTCTCCTCCTTTGGGGTGTGGAGCAAAAAGATTCCTGTTGACCTCTGAATTAAAGTGCTGCCCTTTGTCTACAGGAATTGGAAAGAATGTAATCTGCGAGAAAGCTGCTACCTCTCTCGATGCTTTCAAGATGGTCACGGCTGCCAGGTATTACCCCAAACTCATGAGCCTCGTGGGCAACGCTCTGCGCTTCCTGCCAGCTTTTGTCAGGATGAAACAGTTAATCGACGAACACTATGTCGGCAACATCCTGGTCTGTGACGTGCGTGTGTATTGGGGAAGCCTCCTTAGCCAGAAGTACAACTGGATTTGCGATGAGCTGATGGGCGGGGGCGGCCTGCACACGATGGGGACGTACATCATAGACCTGCTCACCCATCTCACAAGCCAAAAGGCTGAGAAGGTCCACGGGCTGCTGAAAACTTTTGTCAAGCAGAACTCGGCCATCAGCGGCATCCGCCACGTCACCAGCGACGACTTCTGTTTCTTCCAGATGCTGATGGCGGGAGGCATCTGCAGCACGGTGACTCTGAACTTCAACATGCCTGGGTCCTTTGTTCACGAGGTCATGATTGTCGGGTCAGCTGGCCGTCTTATTGCTCGTGGGATGGACTTATACGGCCAGAAGAACACAGCTCCCCAGGAAGAGCTGTTACTGAAGGACACCCTGAAGATCCACGCAGAGCTTTCCGAAAAAGAATTCAAAGACATCCCTCTCCCGTACCTCAAAGGGATGGTCTACCTGGTGCAAGCGCTCCGTCTTTCCTTCCAGGATCAGGAAGACCAGCGGACCTGGGATCCCAAGCCGGTGGCAATGGCAGCTTCCTTTGAAGATGGTCTCTATATGCAAAGCGTCGTGGATGCTATTAAAAGATCCAGCAGGTCTGGGGAATGGGAAACGGTGGAGGAGATGATCGAAGAGCCTGATGCCAACCAGAACCTCTGTGAGGCGCTTCAGAGAAATAACTTATAATGCAGGTATTCCTGCAAAAGAGGAACAATTGGAAACGGAAGTGGGTGGGTAGGTGGGTGGAATGGAAGCAGGAAAAAAGAGGAAGGGTGTGTGTGTGTGTGTGTGTGTGTGTGTGTGTGTGTGTAAAGGGGGAGCCTTTGGTTTTTAATCTGGGAGAATTTTAAATGTTGCAGGCGTACGTGTCTTTGGTTACTTAAGTTTAATAACTTGTGTATTGTTAGGAAAACTTGAATTGCCAGTTGCACTCAGCAGGTAAGAGCACTGTCCCCCAAAACAAGACTTTTGAGGAGGCAAACCTCTTCTGTGCCCGGCTCTTGTATTAATGCAAGTGGAACATAATTGGCATGTAGTGGTAGAGAGCGAGGCTGATCGTTGTTTTTAAAATAGGAATCTGAAGTTATTTTTTTACAGCCTCTTTGAGGGGGAAAGGGCTTCCGCAAAGGAATACAGTGAGGCACATCTGGTCCTTAAGAGGATCAGAAGGGACAGATGCAGGGATCTCTTTGTAGATAACACAAGACTTTGCTACAATTCAGGGATAAACTGGTAAAGATCATGTTCATTACTTGGGTGTTTTGAACTCTTACGTGAAGCCCATCATGTAAGCCCCACTGAAAGACTGAAGCATGGATCTGAGACAGTTGCATTGAATGAGTTAGATGCTAATTGGTTAGAAGATGCTCCAGATTCCTTCCACCATTCCTCAGTCTGTGTCTTGGAAGTAGAAATGGAAAAAGATGATTGGAGCCCAAAGCAAAAGCAAGTGAAATGGGGGTATATATATATGAGGATGGGGGTGGAGACAGAGAGGATTTGGAATTAAATTCCTATATTCCTTCCCTTAAAAAAAGAATGCGCGCACACACACACACACACACACACAAATCTTGCTTTTTGCATGAACAGGTTGAATTTGGAAGTGACTATCTAATTTGCACCATCTTCTTCAGTGTGTTTGCTTTGTTTTATTTGCCAGAGCACCAGATGGAATGCAGTTGCTGTTTGTGCGTATCGGCGCACTTGTTAATAGGAGGGTTGTACAAGACTCTGCTTTTTCTTTCCAATATTCTTTTCTGTCTTTTTCCATGCTAGCCAATCTCACCGATGTTGATTACTTGGCAGTGCAAAAACCATGTCCCATGCCCAGCTTTGATGGTGAGAAATTTTTGGCTGTTTAATGAAGCGAACAATAAAAGAGAGGGAAGCTGACTTGAAAATATACCCCAGTTACTCTTGACTGTAATCTAACCTGGTAGGGCTTGGCATTTGTTGGAGACAATCCAAGATAAACAGCAGCTTAGTGAATTGAAGCAAATTCTGGTCAACTTTGCCTTTCTCCCGTTTTAATCCTGCAAGATCCGTGGAGGAGATTTTATTGCCAGAACTCAAAAGAAAAACAACCAACTTTTAACTTTTTAATGAAACATTTGTTTACTTGAATGTTATTTTATTTTTCTTACGTTGTTTTCCTACTGGGTTTTAATCCTGTAAGTTAAGATAAAGCATTAACAAGCACGCCTCAGTTGTGTTCTTTTAAATGATAGTCTACAATGGAAACTAAGAACAGATAAAAACCATGTACCAGATCAGCTGCTCTGCTCCCTAAGGGGAAAAAAATCTTAATTGTTTTCTTCTCTTTTGTGACTTTGAAGCTATTTTTAGGTACCACAGCTATATCTTATGCTTCGGATTTCAGTTCTTGATTTACAGTGGGAGCAACAAGGTCTGGGGTTTGAGAGGAACGGACGGTATTTCTCTTGTCTTTTCTAACATTCAGTTGGGCACTGGTATTTAGATAGCAGCAATTCCACTCCTATTTAGACTGTTCCCATTTTTCTCTCTATTTTACCGCAAGAAACAAGACAAAATGCTTATACTTTGACACCCGCTTGTAATGAACAAAAAATGAATTACACTCTTGACCGGATTCAAGGAGCATCTCTGAAAAAAAGCACTGTTGATCTCTTGAGCTTGGCCTCCTATCAGATACGATTATCTGTTCTGGGGTGACAATGGTGGGACTAAATGAGCTGCACAGACGCTGAGCATCTTATCAATGTCCACTTGAGTAGACTTATCTACCTCTGTTTTCACTACGGAAGGGGCACTTGGTAGACCCCTTGGTTCCTTGCCTTCTGCCCCAGAGAACCGGAGATCAGAATGCAGTAATTTCTGTCCTAGATAGATGAGAAAAAAGGCAAAGTGGCTTTTTGAGTTCCACGTCATAGAAACTTAAAAATGCATCGTAACTTCAGACTTTCAAACAAAGGAGGACGTAGACTTCGCATCGCAACAAGAATAGGTTTTAGCCAATCTCTCACAGCGCCAAATTATGCCCAACCTATTTTTCAATTCCAGCCCATGTTGGTCTTGGAAAAGAAGCTGGGCCCCACCCTCCTTTGTTTCCAGGTTGTTACCTATTGATGGAGGTAGTCTCAGTTCTACGGTGCCTGCCTTGTTTCCTTGGGTAGAAGGCGCCTCCATTTGGGGCAGGTCATATTCCTTGTCCAATGGTCTGTTCATCTCTGGGTTGTCATAGTTAATGTATTGATATAAAGGACGCAAACGCTGGGACTTTTCTAGAAGTAATGAGACAATGTGAATGCTGGCGAGCAGGTAACCTCTGAAGTATAAGGGTCTATTAGTGAAGACAGCTACAATACTCCTTAAACACGACAAATGCGACCCAGGTTTGGTGTAGTGGTGAAGGCATCAGGCTAGAAACGGTGAGATTGTGAGATGATTGACAGACGAGAGAGAGAGAGATGACAGATAGATCAATCCTTTCTTTAAAGTGGAAACTGAAGTAAGTACAGTTCCCTGAATCCTTATCTAACCTATATAGGTACATACCTTGCAAACCATAACTTGCAAAAGAGTCTGCTTACAACTTCTAACGAAAAATTCATCCGTCCATCCATCCATCCATCCTGTATGGCACTCCATTTCCTTAGACTTTGAGTGCATAAGGAACAAGAACTTTGGAACTGGAATTCCCATTCTCCCATGGGAGAAGGTGTTTGATAAAAATGTTCTTGGTTGTCCAAACAAGCACTGTAACACTATCTTTTTGACGTCTGCTTATTCATTTCTTGAAAGAATATCACATACATTGTGGTATGCTGGTTATGGAGCTGATTGCACTGTGTAAGTAACATTTGTTACTATTGAAGACCAACTAGAAAAACACTATATCTATCTGTCTGTCTATATCTATCTATCTATCTATTAACTATCTTAACTATGTCTCTATTATATATCATCTATATCCTCTTTCCATATGTCTGTCTATCTATCTATCTATCTATCTATCTATCTATCTATCTATCTATCTATCTATCTATTATCTGCCTATCTCTATTATTAATCTATGTATATCTCTTTCCAGAATGAAAGAAAAAAAAGATGTATCTGTACCTCATAGAAATAGAGTTAATTGATTTTGGAGAGGGACTTCCATATTTACAAATGACCAAGGAAATAACATTCTTATTAACTATTTTGATCAGTAGTTATTTAACATTTATTGATTTAATCTCATTTATGTTTATTTTTCTGTGCTGGTCTTTCTGCAGAGGGACTCCTGGCAGAGCAACAATTAGTCAACTGCTAACACGTCTCAATTAAGAGTTATGCATCCTTTAAACTAAAAGAATGCTATCTCCTCATTTTCAGACTCTTGAAATGCAGTGCGTCAGAAAGTGATAACAGTGAAATACCGAATATCCCGGATATTGCCAATCCCCCCCCCCCGCCCCGATTCACGCTCGGACGGCTCTTCTATCCACTCAACTCTCTGCAGTTGCAGATTCTGGAGGCAAAGAACTTCCCGGGGTGGCGGGAGGGACTGGGGTAATCTCTTGAGTCGACTTTCTTTTCTTAGCTTTCTTGGGCTGCTTCAGCACAAGGGATGTTTCAGCTTTGGCCCCTTCAGCTTCCTCTGCCCTGGGAGACAGCTTCTTGAAGTCTGCATGCTGAAAAGTGAGCACCTCAGAATCAGTTCTGTGGGGCACAAAGAAGACAGGACAGGAGCAAGAGGGAAAGCCCGGTCCGGTCCCTCTCCCTTAACCCCTCTCCCATCTTGGCAACTCACATAAACCCAACAAACTACTGAGTAGTCCTCGACTTACGACCGGTTGAGTAGTCCTCAACTTTCGACCGGTTGGGGGTCGTGGCATTAAAAAGATCCACTGATCTAGATCTTTTCTTCTCTGCATCTCCAGAAATGCCTGCTACGTCCTCCATTAGCCTCTTGGAGTGGTGATTAAACGACTTTACATTTAGCTACAGAAAACGTGGCTGCCCTTCCCTCTTTCGAAACACCACTGTAATTGTGCAAGATCAATAAGCATGGAAGGACATTGAGCACTGGATGAATAATGAATAAGTGGGATGTTTTCAGTGGACCTTTTTCTTATTTACCTAAATCCCCGCTCAATTCTTCCGAAGAAGGCATTGATGCTAGGAAAGGTAAAAGGAAGAGGAAGATAAACAGAGGATAAACAGCAGACAGGGGAATGGATTCAGTTACGGTACAAATCTCTACAGTTTTGGAAGGCCAGAAAGACCTAGTTGGGGGCAAATCTTCATGGAGGAAATTTAGGTAGTCACTAATACAGTTAGTCAACAACAACTACAAACTGAGGGCACATAATCAATATTCTAGCAAACTAACGAGCACCAAAATGAAGAGGATAGATAGATAGATAGATAGATAGATAGATAGATAGATAGATAGATAGATAGATAGATAGATAGATAGATGAGAGTGAAAGGAAAGGAAAGGAAAAGAAAGAAAGAGAAAGAAAGAAAGAAAGAAAACAAACGCTGGCTGAGATATAGGGAAAGAAACACAGCATACCTGGAAAGGCTCCATTTGGAACCGTTCTAAGCCAGTACGGTGCAGAAAAAGAAAAACTACAATTCCCAGCAGCCTCCGGGAAGCGCTGTTGCTAAGAGACCGGAGGCGGGGAGTCCAACTGTCGGCAGCCGGATTTTTCTCGGCATCGCTGCGCAGGAAGCGCCGCGCGGGGCTGCTGGAGAGGACGGGCTGTCAATGTGAGTGGGGGGCTTGATGGGGACGCGGGTGGGAGTGGGAGGGCACCTGGAGGAGCTTCTCCGGGAAGAGGGGGGCTGTTGCTGGCATGCACCCAAAGTAGGGGGCGGTTCGCGTCCATGGGGGGGAAATCGGGGTCCTTCGGGCTGGTGGGAACTGGAAGCGTCATTCCTGGGCTTGGAAGGGGGGAGGGTGGCTATTGAGGGAGAGGGTTCAGTGGCTCGTGACACGTGGATTTTGCATTTTCCCCCGGAGCTGGCTTTGCAATTTCTTATTCACAACAACCCTGGGAGGTAGGACGGCAAGTGGGACTGGTCCCAGGACCCCCAGCGACCTGAATCCGGGTTTAAAGACTGAGCTCTGCATTGCAGTGCTTGTACAGGTACCCAGAGTTGTTGAGAGTTGAGTGGTAGACAAATTTAATCATGATTATTGTGGTTACGCTTGTTGTATTGTGCCGTGTGTTCAGTATTCCCCAGGTCAGGGGTAGGCAATTTGGCCCTCTCTGCTAATTCCATCCGCTTTTGTAACCCTTCGTCCATGGTGGGAATTGAGGCATCTTTCCACCTTTGCGCACAGAGTAGCCTCGCTGCCGCCATCATATATAAAATCAGAGTTTCAAATTTTTTTCCCAGTTCTCTTTCCATTAGGCCCAGAAGGAAAGTTTCTGGTTTAATCTTTTATGTTCACTTTAAGAATTTTCTCCATTAATATACGAATCCTACTCCAATGTTTATTTGCAAGGTCAGAACTCCTGTTACAACCATCTTCCTGCTCAATCTTTAGGGGAGTTTTCTTACACCAGCGTAAAGTTTGTCTTCCCAGGTTGCAACTACCTGCCCTTGGCTAGCCTTCCAACATCCATTAAAAAAGGGGCTCTTTCCTTCCTCTTTAGATACTTGCAGTCCCGTGATTTCAAGCCAAACAGCCTTCCAATTGTATGTTTGTACAGTATTTGGCTCTTAACAGCCGTTTACCCTCTAAGCTGACAGAATAAACATCTCTATGCTGGGCCTGGAAGGAGGCCAAGAATTAATCCTTCTCCTCCTCCTCCTTCTTTTCCTCTTGGTGAGGGAAAAGCATTTGGCTGCTAATGCTGAGACAGGCCCGATAGTGTGCCAGCCAGCTATTGTCTTTATGCAAAATCAGGGATCATCCGTTGTATTTTGCTTCTTCTACAGGAAGGCATGCACAGAAGATGTTTAAAATTTGCTTTTAGGATGTTTCAAGGGAAGTTCAGAGACAGCTGTGGTTTTGCTCACTGCCTTTATGTCTGCCTACCTGCACAGGCAGCTTTCTGCTATCTGCAGGTATTGAATAATAATAATAATAATAATAATAATAATAATAATAATAATAATAATAATAATAATAATAAAGTTGGAAGGGACCTTGGGGGTCATCTAGTCCAACCCCCTTCTCAGTCAGGAAACCCTATACCATTTCGGACAAATGGCTGTCCAGTCTCTTCTTAAAAACTTCCAGTGTTGGAGCATTCACCGCTTCTGGAGGCAGGTTGTTCCACTGGTTTAATTATTCTAACTGTCAAACAATTTCTCCTTAGTTCTAGGTTGCTTCTCTCCTGGATTAGTTTCCATCTGTTGCTTCTTGTCTTTGCCTTTGGGTGCTTTGGAGAATAGCTTGACTCCCTCTTCTTTGGGGCAGCCCCTGAGATATTGGGATACTGCTATCATGTCCCCCCTCGTCCTTCTCTTCGTTAAACTAGACAGACCCAATTCCAGCAGCCTTTCCTTATATGCTTTAGCCTCCAGTCCTGCTCAGTGGAGACAGATTAACGAGGTTTGGACGTCCAAGCTTGCTTTATACTTGAAAAAGAGGCTCACAAGAGGTCATTGACAGGGATAGTTTTAGGAATCTCCTAGCTTTAAGGAATGGTGCCTGGGTAGTTATCAGGGCTAGAGCCTGTGAATGTTGGATTGAGCTGTATCTGGAGGACCACAGGTGTCCCTAGCAAAAGGCCTCTCTCTAATCAATGGGGTCTCCAGCTATTCAGAACATTAGGGGCCAAACCCAGCAGACTCAACGTCAGCAAAATATTGTGATCCCAACAGGTTAACAACAACAATAATATATAGGTAATCCTGACCTTACGACCACAATGGAGCCCAGAATTTCTGTTGCTAAGTGTGAGACATTTGTTAAGTGAGTTTTGCCCCATTTTACAACTTTTCTGGCCACATTTGTGAAGTGAATCATTGCAGTTGTTTGAATTAGTAACTCGGTGATTAAGTGAATCTGACTTCCTCATTGACATCGCTTATCAGAAAGTTGCAAAAGGGGATCCCATGACCCCCCCCCAGGACGCTGCAATCGTCATAAATGTGAGTCAGTTGTCAAGCATCCGAATGTAAATCAGGTGACCCTGGGGATGCTGCCATGGTCATAAGTGTGAAAAACGGTCCTAAGTCACTTTTTTCATTGCTGTTTGTAACTTTGAACGGTGGCTAAGTGAACTGTTGTGAGTTGAGGACTTGCCTGTGACCAGTGGTCTTCTAAAGCAACTGTAATTCCGACAAACTTTCTGATAAGTAATTCTGTCTATCTGCCGGAGTTGCTATTCTGGACATGATTGAGACCCATAATGTATGATGAATACAACAGAAGGGAAGAGAAATACATCTAATTTGTGCCGGACATTTTCAGTGGTTGATGATTGCATTTTTTTTCTTTTAAACTTCTTCCTTCCAACTCCTTTCCTTCCAGATAGCCCCTCACACTTTATCCATGGTTCCATAGCAAACTCGGTTCTTGTTTGCAACAGGTCCCCCCCCCAAAGATGAGATTTTGCCATTCCTGGTCAGAATCTATGAAGCAAGGTTGAGATGTCGGAAGGTCCCTCCAGGATCACAGGTCCCATTCCTCCAGATCCTACCCTATGTCCGGATTATTACAGGCGCCCACTGTCAGGTCAGTATCTGCTGGTGTCTGTTCACCAGCCTGGACAATAAACATGTCCTCCATCTGCATCCTACACCCACGACGAAAGGGAGAGAGATCTCCAATGGTTTCTCCAAAAGGATAACTTTCAAATTGCTGAACTTCCCTAAAACCCAATCTGGGTAAACATCTGCATGGCCATCTTTACCGTGCAATTGATTTCTCTTTCCTGCTCCCTGCTTCTGCCTCGCTGTCCTTGAGGATCTGGAGAGTTTTCTGCAGCCAAAGCTCCACTGGTTCTGCTCCTAAGCGACAGACCCTTTCCTGATTTTTTTTTTCCCTTTTTCTATCTTTAGCACGAGGAAGGCTAGAAGGGAACGCTCTGAAATTGGATTTGCTTCCTGGCCCCATCCCCCCAGAGTTCAGCCTCTACCCTGGGTGCTACAGTGCTCGCTGTCCGCAGCCTCCTCCACGAATTAAGCCCAACGCCAGGGACATCTTGGAGAAGGGGCAAAACGGCACCGTAGGAGTTCTCCTGAAGCTAGATGAGCTCTCCTTCTTTGAGGAACTGAGGCCCAAACGTAAGTGGAGCAGCTGGCTGTGGGTAGCCAAATCCCACAGATGTTGGTAGAGTTTTGTCTAGCTCAGTGGTTCTCAGCCTGTGGGTCGGGACCCCATTTGGGATCGAACGATCATTTCACGGGGGTCGCCAAACAACGCAGTCCGCCATTTTTTCCCCCCTTTTCCTTAGCTGTGCTACTCCCTTTTATTCTGTTGGCTTTTGAAAGCCAATAGAATAGACTCTCTTGAATAGAGTCTAATTCTATTGGTTTTCCAAAGCCAATAGGAATTGTCCAGGCTGTCTCTGCCCTGCTGAGCCCGCCAAAAGTCCCAGTCTGCAAACGGTGCTGCACCAGTTGAGTAGTCCTCGACTTACGACTGGTTGAGTAGTCCTCGATTACGACCGGTTGGGGGGTCGCGGCATTAAAAAGGTTGAGAACCACTGGTCTAGCTCCTTAGGCCTGTTCTACCTTCTGCTCCGTGGGGCAGTTTCGGCCAGGGTGTTTTCAGTGGACCTCCCAAGAAGCCTTCTTTTTCCTTTCGGGTGCAGGCAGGGATCACAAAGACCACGAGAAGGAGAATCTGAGGCGAATGAGAGAGATCCAGAGGAAGTGCCGAGAGAAAGAACAAGCCCGGCAGCTGAGTCAACCCAAGCCCGTGAAAGCCCTGTGGAAGTCCCAGAAGTATGAAAACGTGGAATCCAAAGTCAAAGCAAAATTGCAGGTATTATTACTTACTTCCCTTAATTAATGCAGTAGAGCAGGGGGTCTTCAAATGTGGCCCTTTTATGACTTGAGGGATTCTGGGAGTTGAAGTCCACAAGTCACAAAAGGGCCATGTTTGAAGACCTCTGCAGTAGAGAAACAGTCTAGCATATCAGTTAAAGTAGTGTTTCTGCACCAAAGCAAGCATTCCAGATATGGGCCCTTTAACTCCCAGAATTCTTGGCAAGAGAATTGGTTGCTTGGGTTAAGAATTTTGCAACTGTAGGGTCTTTGGTGCTCTCTGAACTTGGGTGTTTCCTTGCAGACGTTTCATTATCCAACTAGGTAACAGCATCAGTGCTAGAAGAAAGTGGGATTTGCTCTCAATTTGTATTCTAGGCAGTGGTTTGGTAGTTCCTTGGTTAGGTTTGCTGTTAGCTTGTTTGCCTAACTTGGTAGTTCCTCGATTATAGTATTGTTTACCCCTTGATGCTTGATCTAGTATTAATCTGGAACTTTTTCTGATCATGCAGTGCTCCCCCCCTCCCCTCTTTTTAAAACACATATATATTATATTGTATCCATGGGAGTAAAATACAAAACAGAAACAGAAAAAAAAACCTATGCCCAACTGTAACAACAACAACAACAAAAAGAATATGTACAAATAAGGAATAGAAGAGAAAGAAAATGACTCAAACATTAAACATAGAAAAAAAAATCTATCCTGGCTGGATACTAAAAATAAAACAAAAAACAAAAAAAACCCCAGATAAATTCTCCTTGCTTTATGAAATGGGTCCGCAGATAGTTTTTTTCTTTCTTTCACTTTTATATATATTAAATGTAGGGTCGATTCAATTATTGGATAGAGATCTGCTCATCTGAGATATTTGTTTATATAATATATTTTTCTGGTTAGATAAGGATATGCAGTACTTTTTTCCCCCCATCTTTTTTTCAAGTAGCTGTTCCTTCTCTTTGTGGGTTTCACAGGAGAGTCCCAGCCCCCCACATCCCGACGCTCAAAACTACTTGAGAGCATAGTCTCGCTGTGGCACAGGAATCCGTCCACGTCGGTCGCCCTCTCCGAACCCTTTCCGGTCGGGTGAAATGGATACAGGAGCTGCCCCAGCTCAGAACGGGAATGGCAAGGTGTGTGTGTGTGTGTGTATTAATAATAATAATAATAAAGTTGGAAGGGATCTTGACATCTAGTCAAACTCCCTGCTAATGCAGGAAACCCTATACCAGGGGTAGGCAACCTTGGCTCTTTTATGACTCTCGGACTTCAACTCCCAGAATTCCTGAGCCAGCATGGCCCAGCTTGGAAACCTCTCCCTTTCCCCTCAGCGTGGCTGGCTCAGGAATTCTGGGAGTTGAAGTCTGCGAGTCGTAAAAGAGCCACGGTTCCCTACCCCTGCCCTATACCATTTCAGACAAACGGCTGTCCAGTCTCTTCTTAAAAACTTCCAGTGTTGGAACATTCATAACTTCTGGAGACATGTTGTTCCACTGAAGATATGTATATATATATATTCCATTCCAGGTCCCAGAGAATAGCAGTAACGTGGATTTTGTCAGTCACAATGCCCAAAATGCGAAACGTGCCTCGTTACAACGCTCACGCTCCCTGCAGTCAATCAACAAAGTCCTGGAGCAGAAGCAAAAAGATCTGGAAGAGTACAACACGAAGCAGAAAGGCCACGTGCCGCGCTAGTAAGCTCTCTGGGCTGCCTGAGGTGATATGGGCTCCAGGCCAACCTGTCTAGAGAGAGTGGCAGGTAGGGAACGGCTGTGCTGTCCGTTGGCAGAGGGCAAGCAGTTGCCTTCAGAAGCCGCTCGTCTCCGGTACTTCAGTGGCTCAGAGCTTGTCAAATTCAGCTTTGGAACCATAAGGTCTGGAAACATGTATTGACAAACAAAGGAAGGTGAGATTGGTTTTACAGTCTACTTTGCTGTCAGTGCTAGGAACTAAAATCTGTACTTTTGGATCCAGTTTCAAAAAGGTGCTTCAGAACAGACCAAGCGTTTTCCTGTAGCTATCGCCTCCTCTGAGTTCCATTGCTATAAGGCTGGGTTGGTGACCATGCCAAAAAGAGAAAGCATTTTGCCTCTTGATTTATTTTTTTTGTAAGAAACCAGACCTGGAAAAGGCCTGCCTGCCTTCCTTCCTTCCCTTCCCTTTCCTTTCCTTTCCTTTTCCCTTTCCTTTCCTTTCCTTTCCTTTCCTTTCCTTTCCTTTCCTTTCCTTCCTTCCTTCCTTCCTTCCTCCCTCCCGTCTGTCCTGTCCTGTCTCCACTTTGCCATTCTTTTGAGTTCCTCTTTCTGCTCTATGTAGCCTGATTGAGCGGAAGGACCACTGGCGCAAAGAAGCTGAGGAACGCCTGCGTAACACACCTGATCCTGACACCCCACCTGGGCACGCCATGATGCCGGAGAACCAGCGCCTGGAAACCCTCAAGAATCTCAAAGAGAGTAAGAAGGGTGGAGGTGAAACCCTCTCAAACTGCTTCTTATAGACTTCATACACACACACACACACACACAAAATCAGGATAAGGAAAGAGCTAAGGGTTATGCTAAGGTTAGGCTCAGGTTTCAGGTGTTCCATTTTCCTCTTTCTTGCCCTATTGAGTTTTTAATCTCTTGGAATTTAAATAGAGGGTGGGTTTACCCTAAGGTTTAAGGAGCATGTTCGCAGCAAACCAGATTTTTCAGAATCCTGATGTTATCTGATAAGCACATGCAACCCAGGGATGGGCATCGCGCATTGTGCTGAGCCGTGATTCATGTAATCGTGGCTCGTTGACTACCCCGTATCACTAGTTGTATATAGTATAACAGAGCAAACCATAAAACCTGGCTCACAAATCCAAACGGCTGAGTTCACACAACCAAGTACACTAAAACCAAATAAACCACATTATGGCTTGGGGTGACACGTTTATGGGTCCACTGGAGTCACTGAAGAAGGCAGGCTGTTAGAATTGCCCACTGATGGTGCTCCTTTCCCTCCCCATCTGTAGCCCAAGAGAAACTCTTGAAGGAGCTCCTGTTGCTTCCGGTGAGAATCGATACTTTGAGTGTTCAAACCCGTCGAGTTTCTTTAGAGAAGAAGCTGTCACAGATTGAAGAGGCTCTCAAGATCTTCTCCAGACCCAAAGTCTTCATCAAGTTGGACTCCTAAGCACAGAGGCCACCTTGTCTTTGGCCTCTCCAGCCTTTTGCACTCAAGTCGCAGGTGACTTTGTTTCCTCACACAGTAGTTCCCGCAATGTAGGTTTTGTCTTGTTGTGTTGTCCATTCTCGCTGCAAGTCCTGTTTCTTTTCAGCACAAGGAAGCAAATCTGTGTTTCTTGGTCAGGCACGGGAAACCCTGCAGGTAGTAACAGTCTGGACCTGGGATGATGAAAGCTGGGATCCAAGAACTTTTGGTGGGCCGAGAAAGAGCCGTTTCCCAAATAAACCTTCTTAAGAATGTTTTATTTTTCAGGCAAAAGAGGAAAGATCGTTTTCTTAAAAGAGGAAAAAGTACACATTCTCAGCAGCTTTGCAAGCTTGGAGGAGCATGTGCATTTTTAACTTAGATGATTGTACAGTTTAAAACAAATAAAGCACATTTTGTAAGCAAGCTCGTGAGTTGGAAGTTGTGAGGGCCTTCCTAATATTCTAAAGGATTCTTCAATGTTAATAGCATCGGTCTTTTTTGTTTGTTTGTTTGTTTTTTAAAGCATCAACCAATTCCCTTGAATCTGAATAATGGTCCTGCAAATCTCCATTAGGGTGATTTTTCTAAGCTTTCCAAAGAAAAAAACCTTCATGTGCAACTTGAAGGAGAACTGGTGGAAGGAAGTTGCAGGATTCCTCAACCTCTGTCAGATTTAATTTCTGAGCTTTGTTGACCTGGTCTGTGCTGCCATCTGCTGATGGACCCCATAAATGTTAGAAGAAGGTTCACTGCAAATCGAGGACCTTAAAACAAGCCAAGTGTTTACTCTGAGGTTAGTGCCCTTGGCAAGTCTGGCACCAATTAAGCTAACTGTTACTCATCGCAGTGGGGAATGCTGCAATAGTTGTGTGAGGATCCACTGTAAGTTACTTTTTTTAGTGCCCTGACTTTGGTCGCAAGTTGAGAACTATTTTTAAGAAATGCTGTCGTATTCCATCTAGATCTCTTTGCCATTCTCAGCAAAGCCCCTACCTGTATATTGCTAAGACAGAAGAGTCATCAAAACAGCACAGAGTCCCTGTCTCTACAGATCAAAGAGGTGCAACTTGCAGCCCCAAACCAAAAGCCTGGGACACAACCCCCACCGTCTTTGCAGACACCGCCACTGAGTTGTGATGGACTTGGGCCCAGCAGCAGAATAAGAGAACTTCAGTCTTCCAAGGGGGCAGTCAGAACAATTTAAGATTTCAGGCGATTGAATTTTTTTTTCTTGGGCAGCTGAAAACCAATGGTCAGTAAGCTTGGCACTAAATGAGGCATTTATATGGAATGCTATTTTGCAAACATTCATTACTGTTATATCCCGGCTGCTAAATAGTTTTTTTCTGGAGCGCTGCTCAATTGATGCTGGGGATAATTGATAGTTTGGATGGATGATAGATAGATAGATAGATAGATAGATAGATAGATAGATAGATAGATAGATAGATAGATAGATAGATGGGATTGACAGATAGATAGGATTGACAGATAGATAGATAGATAGATAGATAGATAGATAGATAGATAGATAGATAGATAGATAGATAGATAGATAGGATTGACAGATAGATAGATAGATGATAGATAGATAGATAGATAGATAGATAGATAGATAGATAGATAGATAGATAGATAGATAGATAGATAGATAGATATTATAGATAGATAGATAGATAGATAGACAGACAGACAGACAGACAGACAGACAGACAGACAGACAGACAGACAGACAACAAACAGATATAGACACACTTCAGTTAGGTCTGAATGACTCAAAAGACCAGGTATCTAAAACTTACAGGTTGCGTCTCTTTGCTGGTTGAGCTTTAAAGTGAACAAGAATAATCTGGGTCTTTGTAATTTAAAAAGTAAATGAAGTTTCCACCTGTCATTCGAAGGCTGTTAGCCTGGCTGTAGGAGAGAAGCAGCCCTGACTTGCTGCAATCAATAGTTTTGGCTTAAAAGAATCAGTTATGTCTCTCCTTCAGGTTTTTTTTTTCTCCCCTTTCGTTCTCTTTTGTTTAGCTGAAGAAGATTTAAGTTAAGTGTGTAGCCCCCATTCCCTAATCACTAACGAAAAGACAGTAGAGGGATGTTTAGCAGGATACGGTGACTTTAACCTCCCAAAGACCCCTGTGTACATCAAGAACACCATGTGGACATCAGGACCTGTTGCCTTAATGAGAAATGAGATAATTTGCAAACCTGCTGCCTTCCAGACAGACGGAACCACACTTCTATACAGGTAGTCCTCAACGTATGACCACAATCAAGCCCAAAATTTCCGTTGCTAAGTGAAAGATTTATGAAGTGCTTTTTGCCCCATTTTGCCACCTTTCCTGCCACAATTGTTAAGAGAACCACTGCAGCTGTTAATTTAATAATATGACTGTTGCGTGCATCTGGCTTCCCCATTGGCTTTACTTGTCAGAAGGTTGCAAAAGGAAGTCACGCGACCCCTGGACACTGCAACCGTCCTAAATATGAACCAGTTGCCAAGCGTCTGAATTTGGATTGCGTGACTACAGGGCTGCTGCAGGTATTGTCAGAGTGAAAAATGGTCGTAGGTCGCTTTTTTTCACAGGGCTGTCGTAACTTGGAACGGTCCTTAAATGAACTGTTGTAAGTCGAGGACAACCTGTAGCCAGGCAGGTGGCTGACCTACAAGGTCAGTCTTTAAAGTGCTTGAAGGTTCCCTGTTTACTGCAGACCACAGTGGCTCCCCTCTAAAAAATGAAAACATTTTCCCTTTGTCTACTGCCCTTCCAACATATACCCAATTCCTACCAGCAGGCATTTCGTAGCATCACGGGAGAAAATTAGACCATTTTGGGATTTTCATCAATGTGGTCCTGGCATAAGCCACTTAATCTGTATTATCTCAGGCAGATTTCTTTGCTCGCTTGCGGAAAGCCCTGGGAGTGTTTTTTGGGCTAATTGGGGGGGGGGCTTTCCCCCCAATCTGTCTGCCATAGAGACTGAGGAAGGGGCGTGGTGGTGGGGGGTTTCCCCTCCGCCAAATTTGCCAAGCCACCCCTTCAAATGGACAGAGGTGCCCCTCCCCCAGACAGGCAGACCAGCTTCTCTCTCTGTCAGGATGGTTTCCTTTGCTGTCATCTCCTGCAGGTTTCTTTCCCAAAAAAAAAAATGTGAAGGAGCACTACTTTAAAAAAAAAAAGCCATGGTTTAATAGTCTGTTGCAATATATTAACTGTGATACGTGTCATCATAAAAACACCTAAAATCAAACACTTCATGAGAAATTGGTGGAGGCAGAGCTAGGGGACGAATGAGGCCAGCCCACTGCCTGGAATCCAGGTAAGAAGCCGAAGAGGAAAGGGGGAAAGTAACAGGAGGCCCAACCCTTGACCTCTCTGGACACGGAAAGGAAAGCCTCCGGGGCAGCTGGATTGGTCCTTCTCCTTCCAACTGCCACTGTCCCCTTGGTTGCAAGAAGCACCATTGGAGCATGAAGGTGGTGTGCAAGTCCGGGTCAGCGAGGGGGAACCTTGGTTCCGATCTCTAGACTTGACCTCCGATGGTCAAGGACGGGGCCCTTCCCCACTGACCTCAGAAACAATGTTTTTTTTCAAGTAGAACGGGAAGGAGGGACGATGGCACCAACGGCTATAGCGTGATCATGGTGCCATCCTCTTGGAGGCTGCCCGCTCGGCTGCCACGCATGGGGCTCCCGCTGCCACTGTGACTGTTCAGCGAGGGCAGGGAGCCCTGGGAGCTATAGAGCGAGAGGCTGTGCTGGAGGCTGTCAAGAAGACCCCCATTGGGGCAGCTGGCAGGCAAGTCACTCTCAATGACCAGGTCTCCCTCTTCATCACTTTCCCCCTCAGCTGTGCTACAATTGCTCAGATATTGGGAAGCCGGACTGGGCGTCTGCTGGCTGGAGGTGCTGTCTGTGGACATGCCAGAACTCCCCGAAGCCTTGCTGCTGCGGATCACGTTATTGCGCTGATTGGCCGGCTTGACGGTGATGATGAGATTGTGGCTGTTGGCCACCATCATGTCAGTCACCTGGTCCAGCGATTTGCCCGCCACGTCAATGCCGTTGACTTCGAGGATCTCATCGTTCACGGCCAGCAGTCCGGTGCTCTCGGCCAAGCCTCCCTTGACCAAACGGGAGATGAAGATGCCGGGCACCTTCTCCACCCCATGGTGAGCTACTCGCACACTGACCCCGTCCCGGATGTAAAACCCCAGGGGCTTGTTGGAGCCGTGTTTATGGAGCCGCACTCGCCGATGGGTCTCAGGCAAGATGTCCACGTCAATGATGGAGGAGATCTGGCGGAAGTCCTGGGGCATGCCGATCAGCAGGTGTGGCTTGGCCCGTTGGTGCGCTGGCCTCAGCAGTCCCTTTTTCTTCCGCTGCAGCGAGTTGGAGGCAAAGACGCTAGCGTTGGCTTCTGCTGCAAGGAAAGAATGGCAAGTAGAGGTCAGATGGGCAAGTTGTCTTCTCCAGCTACAGAATCCTTCAGCTTCACCTCTGGGTTTGCTGGGCTCCTTGTTGGCTTTTTCCCTATTCTGAACTACAGTAAAATGATACAGGTGGTCCTTGACTGCTTGACTTGGAGGCAGGTTGAACAACCTGCCTCCAGAAGCAGCGAAGGCTCCAACACTGGAGGTTTTTAAGAAGAGACTGGACAGCCATTTGTCCATAATGGTGTAGGGTTTCCTGCCTGAGCAGGGGGTTGGACTAGAAGACCTCCAAGGTCCCTTCCAGCTTTTTTAATTATTATTATTATTATCATCATCATCATCATCATCATCATCATCATCATCATCATCATCATCTTACAACTGCTAGTGTTACAATGGGCATCCCTGGATACTTATGACCCAGTTCCAAAGTTCTGATGGCTCCCATTTTATGGAACTCAGTAACTGGCTCAAATTTACCAGTATTTGCTGCAATCCACAGTCACGTGGCTTTTTTTTTTTAATGATTCTTTTTTTGCTGAAAACTGAACCATTGGTTTAATAACCATCGTATTTGAATAACAAAGTTGGAAGGGACATCGGAGTGGCTAATTTACTCAACGACCACTTCAATACAAAATAAAAAATCATAAAATTGAGCCGGTCACATGGGTGACCCATTTTATGGCCGTCACAATTTATGTGGGCAGGTTCCATTATAGTTGTAAGTAAAGGACTATCTGTAATGACTTTTTATGTCACTTTTTTAAAAACATAGATCCCAAATGTATGGCTTTCCAGCCACATGCCACCTCTCCATGTGGCGTCTATACATGTGTGCACGTATATTTGTACACAAATATACCTGTGTTACCCATTTACGAACAAAGTTGCCTATCTCTCCCTATTAGGTGATAAATTCTGGGTTTCCCTCTCTTGATGCACTCTTTTGAAATCATTTGTGCCTTCAGATCACTAAGCGATCACTCTTTTCACAGCTCTGACTATCTCCCAACGTTGGATACTTTGAAAGTGCTGGGTGATTTAGTGATGCACAAATGATTTAGCATTTTGGGATGTACAGTATCTGAAGGCCAAGGTGGTGCCTGGCTGGCAAGGAGAAACATTAGCCAGCTGTGTCATTTTTGAGTTTCTCTAAGCAAGGGACAGCACCAGACCACATGGCTTAATCACCCAAGGATAACCCTCTTAGCTATGTTACCTAACAGAGTGTCAGAATACGAGTTATTCTCTTTGTGGAAACCTGCCTGATTGGGGTGGGGATTAAGAAAAACTTGAGTTTTGATAATGGGGTACTTTTATAGTTACCCACTGGAATACTGACAATACTATGGGCAACCAGGGGAATTCTGGGAGTTGAAGTCCACCGGTCTTAAAGCTTGCAAGCACTAGAAGAGAAATCCAATATTTTTCTCCTGCCCAGAAGGGTTGCATCCTTCCTCTCACCCTACTTCTGAGTGACATTTGCTTCTAGGATTACAGAGCACTACCCTGGGAGGATTGCAAAGTGGTATGAATAATTCAGTTTTAATCACACTTTGAGTTATGCCTTGCAGGCATTATTCTGTAGATCCTGGCTACAGAACACAAAGGGCCACAGCTCTTAAGCATCACCACAGCCAGTGCCCCAGACAAAGAAGGCAACCAATGTACCTGAATCCTGCAAGAATTCATTAGAAAAATCCTTCACTGAAGCATCAGAAATATACACGTTTAGGCTGGCAATTGAACAAGGGAATATAAAGGGGTGGGGGAGGAGTGCTTTGTGCTATAATGCCATAGGATTACTTACTTAAGTGTTTGCTAATCTAAAATAATCTGCCTATTAGCATTTAAGCAGAGTAAAAGACACACACACACACACACATGCATTGAAATTATTATTTAGAATTGGCACGCTCCAATGGTAAGTAAATAAATAAAAACATTGGGTGCACAAAAATGATTAAGGGACTGGAAGCTAAAACATATAAAGAACACTTGCTGGAATTGGGTTTGTCTAGTTTAATGAAGAGAAGGACGAGGGGGGACATGAAGGCAGTCTTCCAATATCTCAGGGGCTGCCCCAAAGAAGAGGGAGTCAAACTATTCTCCAAAGCCCCTGAAAGCAGGACAAGAAGCAACGGATGGAAACGAATCAAGGAGAGAAGCAACCTAGAACTAAGGAGAAATTTCCTGACAGCGAGAGAACAATTAATCAGCCGAACAACTTGCCTCCAGAAGCTGTGAATGCTCCAACACTGGACGTTTTTAAGAAGAGATTGGATAACCATTTGTCTGAAAATGTATAAGGCTTCCTGCCTGAGCAGGGGATTGGACTAGATGACCTCTAAGGACCCTTCCAACTCTGTTACTCTGTTAAGGGCTGGGAAAGGAGAAGAGAGAGTCATCGGTCTTGTAAGTAATCCAAGTATAATTTGCCAAAAGGTAACAACCAGGCCAAGTGCATATCTTTTAAACCTTACTTCTCTCCAAAGGAATGGGAACCTGCAAAAGGAAAACGTCGATTCCTTTGTAAGGAAGGACGCAGGAGCTGACTTTTCAGGCAGAAACCTCAGGGATCCGTCACTTAAAATTCCCCACGCCTCGGTGGGTGGAGGAACTGCAGTGGCCATCGTCCAACCTTCACGGTCATGGTTAGTTTTGAGAGGTGTAATCAAATGCATATGAAGGATGTCAGAGTGGAGAAGGTTGGCCCGCTGACCCATGAAGAACTTTGGAGACAGGAACGGGGAACGGAGCCTATCCATCATATGACTTAGTAGTGCGATATCTGAATTGAATGGTTCTCTCTCTGCCTGCCTTAAGTTACAGCCTAGCCGTTTTTGAGAAGAAAGCAGATGGTAAGAAAGAGCTAAATGCCCCGCAGAGAAATAATGTGGAGCCAAAAGAAGCAGTGTACTGTGATAAGATTGGAATGTTTCTTAAATGGAGAAGCCACTGAGATACGGGTAACATACAGTTTGTGAATTGAGTCCTGAGTATTAAGCCAAAGGCGAAATAAAATGCAAGCAACAGAAGGGCAGGTTTGGTTTAAGGGCTCTCTTACATCATAGCTGTCATGTGTCTGATTCACTTAAAAAGTTAAACTGCAGTAACTCCCTTAATAACTGTGGCCATGAAGGTCATAAAATGGGGCAAAGCTCACTTAACAAATGTTTCGCTTAGCAACAGAAATCTGGGGCACAGTTGTGGACGTAAATCGAGGATTACCTGTATCCCCATCATTCCAGGAGTCGGAATTAGGCTGCGCCCAGACCAAGGTGACACTTAGCCTTCAAAACCAAGCGTGTTCATCATATCTGCCCTTTTGAAGCCATCCAAGCCAGTGGCCAGCCCCAATGGCCATCCCCAAACTCTAAGGCAGTGATTCTCAACCTTTTTAATGCCGTGACCCCCCAACTGGTCGTAAGTCGAGGACTACTCAACTGGTGCAGCACCATTTGCAGAATGGGACTTTTGGCGGGTTCGGCAGGGCAGAGACAGCCTGGACAATTCCTATTGGCTTTTGAAAGCCAATAGAATTAGACTCTATTCAAAAGAGTCTATTCTATTGGCTTTCAGAAGCCAATAGAATAAAAGGGAGTAGCACAGCTAAGGAAAAGGGGGAAAAAATGGTGGACTGCGTTGTTTGGCGACCCCCGTGAAATGGTCGTTCGACCCCAAATGGGGTCCCGACCCACAGGTCGAGAACCACTGACCTAAGGTAATGAATTCCACAGGTTAATTATCACGATGTAAAACTGAAACAGAAACCCAGAGATTACCCCTGTTAAGAATAGGCAAGTTGGAGGGCACGCTGGCGATATTGTCCCCCAACAGATGGAAGGTTGGCAGGTTGTCTATGCCTCATTTTGACTCTCCTGCTGTTTGCAATTCTTTTTTTTTTTCTTCCCCAAGTGTTAAGCAAGAGGACAGATTAATCAACCTGAGATCAAGAGGAGTATTTTGAGACAAACTGTATATGTCTTGGGGAGAAACCAGATCAGCCAACTCTGAAAAGAGCCTTAGCTGGAAACCCAGTGGCATTCACCATCTGACCTACAATAAAAATAGAAGAAGCTGGAAACCCAGTGGCATTCACCATCTGGGACCTACAATAAAAATAGAAGAATGGGAACCCCGGGAATAAGCAAAAGGATATTTGGAATTCATATGCATGATGCCTGGGTAGGTGCCTGATTTCACAAACGGAAGCAACGCAATGCAGCCTAACACTGATGGTATTACTTAGTTCGGTAATGAAACATCTGCAAAACATGCAAAAAAAACCCAACCATGCTTAGAGAGCACCAAAGCATCCTTCCAAATTCATCTCCTTAAAGGAGATAGCTGTGATCTCTCAGTGCATTATTTTTCCTCTCTTTCATCCTAAAGGACTGCAGAAAAAATGAAAGTACCAGTGCTGTTTCCGTTTACGATTTGCCTGCATGGTTTTCTGGAGGAAATTCTTCCCTGAAGCTCACATGCTGTTTACGAGCCTGCTTGAGCAGGGAAAGAGGGTGGAAAACCTCTCAGCAAAGCACTGTTGAATACAATCTTTGAATCTTTAGGCTTTGCGTGCCTAAATGGAGCACCTTGGCAGACCCAGATCCCAAGTTATAAATATCACCCTGCGTTTTGGGTACAGCAGCTTATTTTTCACCTGGGAGCCCTGGTTGTATAGCAGAAGCCTTTTACTACTCCAGGAAGTGGTCCAAGTTACATCAGTTCCAGGTTTTGCAAGACAAGATGTCCTCCCTGGATCTCCCACTGCAAGTGGCTATTGTTCTCCCTATCATCTCTCAGCTCAGTGTGTACCATCGCACACAAGAGGCTAGAGACAGTGAATGTTTCCATTCTCCCTGGAGCTCTGAGAAGACAGGAAGAATGAAAGAAAAGAAATATGAAGACGAGCTGGTTTCTGGCCAGTTGTTGGCTGTGGCCCCCTCTGGTATTTATTCCAAATAAATCCCATTAACTGTCTCATAAACTTTACTGCTTCTTCTGGATGACAACAGACCGATGAGATCAAAACATAACTGCCATTTTTCCCAGCATCTGCCAAGTTCCCATTGCTCAGCCTGATGTTCTGTCACAGTTGCCTACTCCAGATCCTCTTTTTAAAAACTATTTTCAGATCTGTACTTTAAACAACCCTGGTAATCTTATGGTTAGCTAGATTTTATTTCTCACAATGTATTGGAACATTTAAAGGGCAACAGCCTGGTATCGTTTGGAATGGGATGCTCGTTACTATTATTTCAACTGTCAGGATTTCAGTCCACAAACATCTTTGGATTATACTGTTGTCTCAAAGTATAAAAAAATTATTTTCTCTTCTGTATGGCAAGAGGGCGCTGCTACTTCGTAGATAAAGTCAACTGTGTCTCCGATGAATAGGAGAATCCCCTCCAGTGCCCAGATTCGAAGGAAGAAGACTCTGATGATTGAAATTATTAAAAGGTCCTAAGTTACTAATAGTATTGCCTTATAAGGGTCATAAATGACCAGCCCACATTTTTCTATGGGCTGGCTAAGTTTTGGAAAGCAGATTTTTCTCCCATGGAAAACAGCATCTCCTGTCAAAGCACCATACTATTTATTTTTATTTTTTAAAAAAAAACGCCTCTTAATTTAGAACACTATTCTCTCTTCTGACCTTTAAAAGATCTATTATTAACACCACAACCCTATTCAGGCATTTGGAATAGGGAAAGATAAAGAAGCTGTCATCATTCAAATATTGCTGAGCTGCAATTCCCAGCATTCCTTACCATTGCACATACACCCTGGGACTGCCTAAGACAGTGTTTTTCAACCAGGCTGGCTGGGGAATTCTGGGAGTTGAAGTCCACACGCCTTAAAAGTTGCCAAGCTTGAGAAACACTGATCTAAAACGGATGGATCATCAACATCTGGAGCATCCTAAACTCACTGCTGGCAAGAATAAGTACACAGGTGATAATGTCCATTTACGGTTCCCGTCCCTGGTTTCTTGTCCCCTAATCATTTTTTTCCCCTTCTCTGCAGCCAATGGCCTAGTGCAGTGATGGCGAACCTTTTAGAGACCGAGTGCCTAAAACCCATTTATGCATCGTCGGGTGCCGGGTGGGTGTGGCCCATTGGGCGGGTGTGGCCCATTGGGTGGGTGCGGCTGCGGTGGTAGCAGCAGACTGGGTGGGACTAAAAAGTTCAATCAATCAATTCCAACTTTGCAAGATCTTTTTTTTTCCCGCGAGAAGTTGAAATTGACTGAACCTTTTTTTTTTTGCACACAGCGGCGGAGGCCTAAAGCGAAAAGGTTTTATAAAACCTAGCTGAAGGCCTAGCACTGGGGCGACGGCGCGCGTGCCCACAAAGAAGGCTCTGCGTGCCATTTGTAGCACGTGTGCCATAGGTTCGCCACCACAGGCCTAGTGACTGCGAATAGGCAAAATGTTGAAATTGAATGGAATTGAATATTCCACTTGGCTAAGTGTGATTAGCCACACAAGGAATTTGTCCCCAGTGCAGGTGGTCTCCATGCACACGCAAAGCAATAGAATAATGATAATTATAATCTTAATAATAATCCCGATAAGAGGGGGGAGTAAAGAAGATAATAGAAGGATAAATGATAATACTACAGCCATACTACATGGGTAAATACACTTAAACATTCGACACCAATGTGAGAGTTAGGTATTCAGCAGACAAGGGGAAAAAAACTCCCAGTGTCTAGTAGTTGTTTTGGCGTGTAATGCCCCATAGCGCCATCCCAAGGGGAAGAGTTGAAATAGTTTATATCCAGAATCTGAGGGATCTGCAAATTTCTTATGACCTGGGCATTATACAGGTCTTCTATGGAAGGCAGGCAATTGCCATTGTTTTTTCTGCAGCCTTAACTTTCTGTTGGAGCCTGTACCTTGTCCTACTTGGTTGTTGTATTTATTTATTTTTTAAAACAAGTTTTATTGGTTTTTTTCATTTTACAAACAAGTGCTTAAGAATCAACATGGTGGCAGGGCAATCAATTGTTCACAAACAAAGTCATAGTCCTAAAGTTCAGATTAAATCATTAAAATCCCCCTCTCTTTCCCCTCTAGTAACATATTATATTCAAGTTAATACATTTCAGTACAACTAAGTCAGTCATAACAATCCTCAATAACCTTTCATCTAAATAGATCCACAAATCCAGATCCTGTGTGAAGCTTAACTACCTCAGTTGCTATATTCCATATTTCTAATCTAAAGGCATAATTAACACTTCCAGCAACCGATATATATTGATCTCAGTATATAATAATTGATTTGTTTTACTATTCTGAATGATGGTTATCAATCTTCCTCAGCCTTTGACGGGGACCTGAAGCGGTCACCTGCACTTTTCCTCTGAAAAACGCTTTCAATAAAAAGAAGGGGGAAAAGCACACCTCCCTGGAAACGCAAAACATTAAAGAAGAGAGGGGGTTAATTCTCAAGGTGTGTCCTACCTCTCTTCTGGATGATGATCCGGAGAAGAGGATTGGCAGACGACAGAGCCTTGTGATAGTTGTCATCGTTGTTGATGGGGAGCAGATCTCCATGGATGTCTGTGTATCCCAAGAGGACATCCGAACAAGGGATCTGGTGCACCCTCTGGATCAGCTGATAGAATTCCTGGAAACCACCTGCGCTGGACCTCTTCATGGCAAAGCGGCGAAACTCAGCCTCAAACTGCCAGGAAGACAAAACAATCAGACACACACACAAAAGGCAAATCGATAAAGGTGCTCAACCAAAGTCGCAAAAAAACCTGGGGCCTTGGGGAGAACTTTTCAAAGCAGCGAAGAAGGTCCAGGCCTCCTTCGATTCATCATTCTTTCTCCTCACATGAAAGCTGTCTTTGACACCCTTTGGGGAAAACACACAGCTCACACACATAACACCAAGCCATAATGTGCTTGTTTGGGTTTGGCTTAGTGCAGGGGTGTCAAACAGGTGTCGCAACATGTCACGACTTTTTTTTGCCACTGCCAGCAATAGGGTGGGCGCAGTTTCGCTATGATGCATCCGGCCCGCAGGGCGGCAGTTTGACACCCCTGGTTTAGTGGGAAGGGTAAGCAGAAGCTGGCTGGTAAGCAGTGTGTGGAGACAAACTACAATGAACACAAACCAGGGCTTGGTGTGACGTAATGAAGAAAACAGTCTGTCGCAGTCTTAAGAAGATATTGGAAAGTAACACTTCTGACTGGCACAGGATTCAGCAAGGTAGACTCAACTTTCCATCCTTTCAAGGTGGGTAAAATGAGGACCCAGATTGTTGAGGGCAACAGACTGATTCCGTGAACAGCTTAGAGAGTGCAGCAAAGCACTGGGAAGCGGCATATTAGCCTAAGTGCTATTTCTATTCAAAACTGATTTAACAATTTGGAGCGTCTGCTAAATACCATACAGGTGGTCCTTGACTTACAACAGTTTGTTTCAGTGACAACTGGAAGTAGCAACGTCACTGAAAAAAAGTGACTTATGATCCTTTTTCACACTTACAACCGTTGCAGCATCCCCAGGGTCACGGGATCAACATGCGGCCGCTTGACAACTGCCTCATAGTTATGACGGTTGCAGTGTCCCAGAATCACGTGATCACCCTTCGTGACTTTCTGACGAGCAAAGTCAGTGGGGAAGTCAGTTTCATTTAACAACCGTCTTACTAATTCAACAACTCCAGTGATTCACTTACCTGTGAATCTGTTTATTTCGCTTAGCAACAGAAATGTTGGGCTCGGCTGTGGTTGTAAGTCAAGGACGACCCATAGTGACATGTAGCTAGTTTTGAGTTGATTGTACTCAAGGAAGAGAATGAAAGTTGTTCTCAGATAGCAAATATGTATGGCAAAGCATCTTCTCTTTTATATTTACTGCTTAAATGGGAAAAAAGATGGATACAGTGGCTGGGCATGTTATTACAATTAGCTCATTTCCTGCTCTCAAAACCTTTGACTTTAATCTCAGCTAACTGTGAATTCATGCCTCGAATTTCTGATCTTTCCAGCCTGCGTTTAGCCCAGCAATCAACAGGATCACCAAAATGGAAAAGAAACGGGGTTTTTTTCCCCCCTTAACGGAAGCTTTAGCTAGTGCCCTCAGGCTACTTTAGGACTATCTTCTGAGAATCTGCAGCCAAGTGCTCATAATTTGGAAAGTCGTATTTCCAACACACCTGGAAGGCACCTGTCAAGCTTCAGCAACTGCTCACCGCCTAAAACTAGCAAAGCGGGGGAAAGGTATTAGGTAAAAGAAAGCTTAGTAAATGGACATATTTGCTTTAGCTTTCATTTCATCTCTAAGTTTGTTAGGGATTTTCTTGATCCTCTTGCTAACCACTTGTTGATTTCCTGGGGAGATGGAAACTCATGTTCCAGATAAAAACACATTCTCCGTATACCTTTAATATTTTGCAAACTAGCAGCCTCTTCCCCAGATTCCGAGAAGCCCGTTACAGTAACTGGCTAGGTCATTCTCTTCAAAAGCACAGACACTTTTCAAATTGTCTAATACAGGCATGTCCAACCTGCAGCTCCCGGGAGACCCTGGACAGCTAGTAATGCAGCCCCACACAAATTCATAAACTTATATATTATATATTTTATATGCGGCCCGTAACAATTCCTCTTCAGCCAATATGGACCAGGCAAGCCAAAATGTTGGATACGCCTGATCTTCTAATACACTATCTTCTTGAAAGCAATCACATTCAGTCCTTGCTATTTTGTCCTAATTATGAAATAGACAGTATGTTTATTATATTATTTATGGCTACGTTTGTGTCCCTTTCGTTATGTAGATTGTATTTTTTTTTTCATCTGAAGAAACCTCGGAGTTTTCCATCGGATCCAAACAACAGAAGACATTTCTTTTAAAATAGGTCGACAGGATTGCTTTGTTGCAGGAATTTTACGCTCTCCAAAGACAAATATGAACCAAGAGCAACATATGGCTCATTATTGTTACAATAATTGAGAGCATACAAGATTTTTAGGCAAAGTCTGAGCTCCTCCAGGCTAACACCGTACAAAAACTAGATTCCTTATTCAGTGCTACTTCTAATCGCTACAACAATCAATAATAACAGCCCATCAATTAGGAACAGCATACATTAAACAGTTTGGAATCAAATATCAAACTATATTAGACGACACGGGGGCTTGTTTAAAACTTGCTGCATTTGAACAAGCCACCGTTGCTTGGTACCACATGTCAAACCACCCACCCCAGTCGCTCAGGTCATCCAATATGCTAAAATCAACCCAAGCAAAACCAGCAGGTGGTTGTGTGAACCAGGTCACAGTGCAACAGCTTTTCCTAGAAATGTGGAAATGCGCTTTCCACTAGCTGCAACCCATATAGGTAACCCTATAATGGTTAGCGAGGACCTGAGTCACAGTTGCACCTCTGGGGGTCCCAGATGGGGGAAGCCCGGTTTCCCTGGACCAGGACACATTTTTGCACAGTCAAGCCTTTCCATGAACTGGCAGGGTTGAGCTATTTGAGTGGAGAGGATGAAGATCCTAAGTCAGGGGGTCCTTCAAACTTGGCAACTTTGAAGGCTTGTGGACTTCAACTCCCAGAATCCCAAAAACTGGGAGTTGAAGTCCACAAGCCTTCAAAGTTGCCAAGTTTGAAGGACCCCCCTGCCCCTAAGACCTTGCACCCCTAACCCTAACCCTGATCCCACGTTACACATCGGCCCAAGGTGGGGGGGATGCCCCTTTCCGACCCTGTTCTGGGGCAATCACTTCAACGCTTCCTTTCTTTTTCATGCGTGGGGGGGAGGGCGCACAACAAAGGACGCCCCCCCCTTTTTACGAGGGGGTCCCACCAGATTCCAAGCCAGCAGCACCCACGCTTCGAGAGCCGGTCGGTGCGAAGCTGGGGACACCGCCTTCCCCATCCTTGGGGGGGGGGGGCATTGGCCACCGAGACATCAGCTCCGACACCGCCCCCTCCCCGTTTCCAAACCCCGCACTATTGCATAACCCGCCGGCGGCGGCGTGTGTGTGTGTGTGTGTGTGTGTGTGTATGTGTCTATGTGTGTGTGTGTGTGTCTATGTCTGTGTGTATGTGTATGTGTCTATGTCTGTCTGTCTGTCTGTCTCTCTCTCTCTCTCTCTGTGTGTGTGTGTGTGTGTGTGTGTGTGTGTGTTTCCCTCCTTTCCCCCGCCTAGGAGAAAAACTCCGGCGATTTCTCTTCCCCCGCGCAGCCTGTGCCCAGAAGCAGCGCGCGGAAATCCCTCTAGATCGGAGCAAATAATCCCCATCTGGCCGCCGAAAGACAGGCGGGGAGGCGGGGGCGACGGTGGCGGCGCTGGGGACGAGTCTATAAAACAATCAGCCCGGCCCGCCACCCGTTAGGCCGGGCTTCGGCGCCCCGGCGCAGCGCTGCACCCCCTTCCCTAGAAGCGAGACCCGTCCCCCCCCCAGCAAGAGAGCGCCGGGTCGAGCCGGGCGAGAGACCCAATGCCCGCTCAGCGGCGGCGGCTGCCTGGTTGCACCTGCTGCGCGGCCGCTGCCAGCCGGTCCGACATTCCGCCGCTGCGCGCCTGGGCCCGGGCGCTCTCGTCCCCGCCTGGGGAGGGGGGAATTGCCGCAGCCTCCTCCGCCCTGCCGCTCGCCCCGCTCTGCCCGCTTCCCCGGGCGGAGGCGCCGGCTCACCTTGCTTTTGACCTCGATGACCGGCTCCGAGCTGCGCGCCGGTGTGCGGTGGTGCTTAGCCATGCTGCGCCGGCCGGGCCGGGTTGCCTCCGCCGCCCCCGCCGCTGCTCGCCGCTTCCTCGGGTTATTCTTGCTGCTGCTGCTGCTCCACCGCCGCCGCCGCCGCCGCCGAACGGGGACAGGCAGCAGCAGGGGGGGGGGAGGAAGAAGGCAGGAGGGAGGGGAGGGGAAGGGGGGGGCAGAAACTCACCGTCGATGACGTCACCCCAGCAGTCGGAGCGGGCCCGCGCCATTGGCTACGGCGGGCCGAGCAGGGCGGGGTCAGAACCTCCGCGGCGTTCGGATGGAAGGATGCTGACAACGTCGTCTAGGTAACCGGCCCCCGGGTGGTCCAAGGGGCATCCCGCGGCGGGAGATCAAAGGGAAGGCGAGGGGGACCCTTCAGCGCCCGCCGGCCTCGCTTGGCTCCTTCCCTGGGCAGAGAGGGAAAGGTGGTGGTGGTGGGGGGGGCTTACCTGAGCCTTTGGAGTCGTCGTCGTGCTAAGAAGGAGGCGATTTACTCTCTTGGCCCCCCCACCCCCTTTGGGGCGGGCGGGGGGAGCGTCTGTAAGCCCGCTTGCTCGTTTTTCGGAGGCTGGCAGGGAAGGCGAAGCCAACGCGAGCAAATCTTCGGGGATCCAGGCTGAAGCCCTCGGCTTCTGTCCCACCGCAGGGCCGGCGAGCCAAGGCAGAGATGGGGTCAAGAGAGCGGCAGAGGACAACCCGTAAACGGGGTGGGTGGGTGGGTGGGACAAACGGGGCTGGCTTTTAAGGGGTGCATCAGATGGTGAGGGGCCCTTGGATTGATTGATTGGACACAGACAAACTTTCCATCCCCCAAGCCATGTCCCGGGCTGAGGGTCCACAGGAGAGGCAGTGCAACCCCTGGGTAGCTATTGAGTTAAATCAATGGTTCTCAACCTGTTTAATGCCGCGACCCCCCCCAACTGGTCGTAAATCAAGGACTACTCAACCGGTCGTAAGCCGAGGACTACTCAACCAGTCATAAGTCGAGGACTACTCAACCGGTCATAAGTTGAGGACTACTCGACTGGTGCAGCACCGTTTGCAGATTGGGACTTTTGGCGGGCTCAGCAGGGCAGAGACAGCCTGGACAATTCCTATTGGCTTTTGAAAGCCAATAGAATTAGACTCTGTTCAAGAGAGTCTATTCTATTGGCTTTCAAAAACCAATAGAATAAAAAGGGAGTAGCACCGCTAAGGAAAAGGGGGGAAAAATGGCGGACTGCGTTGTTTGGCGACCCCCGTGAAATGGTTGTTCGACCCCAAATGGGGTCCCGACCCACAGGTTGAGAACCACTGAGTTAAATAGTGGTTCATACTGTGAAGCATATATCATGCAAACGCAACTCATGCGTATCATCCTATCTTGGTCTAAAACGCCCTCAGTCCAGGGGTCTCCAACCTTGGCAACTTTGAAGACTTGTGGACTTTCAACTCCCAGAATTCCTGGCTGGGGAATTCTGGGAGTTGAAATCCACACATTTTTAAAGGTTCACAAGCATTGCCCAGCGCCTCAGTGGCCATGGAAAGACGACTATGCTATCTTATTCTCTGTAATTGTCCCAACACATTCAGACGGTAGAAATGCCTGGGAGGAAATGGATGTAAATCTTTTTATGTTGAACTGGAATTGTCCCTAAAGACTAACAAAATAATTTACACTGATTTTTTTTTTGCATGTTTGTAATTAAATATCAGGTAAGAATAGAGCTACTTGTGAGGATTTAATTAAAGGTCATTCACTGAATTATTTTTTTTTAAATTGAGCAAATGTACTAAAAGGGCTGGATAGTTCTGTCTTCCCAAATGACCCACTTTTAGCTTCCTTTAGAGTTTAGACTAAACGGTGAAGCCTGTCAAAAGCCCTGGAGCTTTTTTAAAAGTTTCCTGCAACTTATAACGGTTACCAGGGAAAACCTGAATTTTGTAGGACTGAGTTACTTAAATTAAATCACGGTTAGAGGTTGCCCTACCCCCACATCTAAAAATAGAAGTGATCTTAAAAACAGTTCCGTTTCCCTGTTTTAACTATATTATTCTTGAAGTAATTTTGGGTTAACAGACCATTCAGAATTCCCTCCCTTTAGATTTTGTTTTGCCCACTGTTTCTTAAAAGGATATGGTAGGCAGGGCAATTAAAAACTGTAGCACTTTACAGCTCAAAGTAATACATGTAGAAGCTCATACCTGTTTGCATAAACCCACAGTGTTTCTCAGCCTTGGCAACTTCAAAATAGGTGTAATTCAAGTCCCAGAATTCCCCAACCAGCAGTGGCACAATTATGTCTTTGCTGTTTGCAGCTAATGGAAGAGAGTAGACGGTGTAAAGCTTTCAAAATCTTGAGTAAATGCACTTTCCCCAAATGCCATATTTTTTTTGGGTGCCATGATATTTAATATCTGATTTTTTTTCCCCCTTGATGCTATTTCTTTATTTGTTGTGGATCCAAGGCTTTAGAATTTTTTTTCTTGGCTCAGTTTTTCTAACGCATAAAAATTAGAAGCGACCTTTTAAATTTGGGGAGGGGGGCACAAGGGTTACAGCCTTATGTTTTATTTTTATAGATCTGAAAAATACTTTAAAGGAACCTTTGAGCTTGGATTAAAATTTGCAGGAGCTGGTAACAACAGTGTGAATCTTATGTATCAATTTAGTCAGTGTATAAAGAATTTTGCCATTTTTTATCTTTATTCTTTATGAATGTAGGACAAGCTATTTTGAATGAAGCCTGTTTCCTGCAGAGACTAATATAGTACTTCTAGAAAGCCTACAAGCTATTAAACATACATTCTCCTCTGTTTCTATCCTCAGCAACTGATATGCAGTGATATATAGCACTTAACCTTTGAAGCTACTTGCCAAGATAATGCATTATTTTGAAGACTGGCAAGCAAGTGACACCTTGTAGCACTAATTTGTTTGAACAAATCTTTCGAATTATTTGAGCTGAATTTTACTGCTAACCGATCTGCTATTCTGGTCTAGCAGGATAGAAATCAGAAGACTGTGAAATCTAGTCCTGCCTTAGCGTCTGGGTGACTTTGAGCCAGTCACTCACTCTCAGCCCAGCCCACCTCAGAGATTTGTCGTTGGTGGGAAAACGGGAGGAAGAAGGCGTGTTGAATATGTTTGCCACCTTGAGTGATTTGTAAAAATAATAATGGCAGGATACAAGTTTATAAAAATAATAAAGGTGATATACAGATAAATGTGAGAGAGAGGGGGAAAAAAATGTCCGCCCAATATTTCTTGATCACACATAAATTCATGTAGCGCTATCCCTGCACCCCTCACTTCCTTTATAAATTAGTCCTGACAATGCCCAGCAAGCTATTTAAGAAGAAGGCTATGGCTGGTCATCTTTTAAAGGAGGTCTGACCTTTTCTGGCATGCTTTGCTTATTCAGAAATCCCAGATATTTTTTTTAACGTGCGGGAGGCCTTTACTAGTTTGGCTCTGGGGCAGCTTCTTTAGGTGTCCCTGGCTGGCTTAACCTTCCTTTTGTAAGGAGTACCTTCTGAAGGAGGCTTTTACTGTTCAGAAGGCGTGGAGCACGCCAGTGATTCAACATAAATGAGAACGTTTTGGTCTATTCCCTGCAGGATTTATGGCCGGCTGGTCCAGCTGATAGAGTAGATGCAAAAAGTAAACTGTAATTTTTTTTTTCTGACTATGCTTTGAAAAGGCAATTTGGGGTTTCCAATGTTCCTCAGTTCTCTTTTATTACATCCATGCTTTAATCCAGGGGTCCCCAACCCTGGTCTGTGTACCGGTACCGGGCTGCAGCATGTCAGTAACCAGTCTACACAAACAAGCAAAGCCCCATCCTCGGAATGCAGGCAGCACACAAAACCACACACCCTCCGGTCCGTGGAAAAACCTCTCTCCACGGAACCGGTCCCTGGTGCCCCAAAGGTTGGGGACCTCTCCTTTAATTAGTCCTGACTCTCTGTGACAACAAGGATCAGTCCCTGTGTATACATTTAATAATAGTAATTTTGTAGGCAACATTTTCATAGGCGTTTTTCCTGGTGCCTGGCCTGCCATGGCCCGGTACTGTTTCCGAAGAGCAATTTTCTTCATTGGAAAATTCTCCTTTTATTGGAGAACTTTGAGAAAAACAAATCACCCCCTTATTTTCTCTGTACACAGATTAAATAGAGGATTGAAAGACAATGTGTGGCTCAGTTAAAAGCCACTGCAACAGGTAGCTGGGCTGAAGTTCTAGTCATTTTGTCTGATGGCTCCTGGCCATTTCCCATAATAATAATAATAATAATAATAATAATAATAATAATAATAATAATAATAATAATAATAATAATAATCCCACCTCCTTTATATGGATGATCTAAAGCTGTATGGAAAAACATCATCTGAAATAGAATCGCTGCTCAACACTGTCCGTATATATAGCCAAGATATTGTAATGGAGTTTGGCTTGGACAAATGTGCCACACTTACTATCAAACAAGGAAAAAATAATGAAAACTGAAGGAATCAAGATGCCCCAACGAAAATAACATTAAGAGTCTGGATGAGGAAGAGTAGTACAAATACTTGGGTATCCTTCAAGCTGACAACATCAAGCACACTGAAGTCAAGAAAAAGATTAGAGGTGAATACATCAAGAGAGTGAAGAAGATCTTAAAGTCCAACTCAATGGAGGAAATACCATAAAGGCAATCAACACCTGGGCAATCCCAGTCATTAGGTACACAGCTGGAATAGTGGACTGGACTCAAGCAGAACTAAAAGCAATGGATAGGCAGACCAGAAAAATAATGACAATGAATCATGCCCTTCATCCACGCAGTGACATTGATAGACTTTATCTACCAAGGCAATAGGTGGGCGTGGAATGCTACAAGTACATCAGATGGTTGAAGAAGAAAAAATGGCTTTGGAAGAATATCTGAAGAACAATGATGAAGATGCACTGAAATTAGTATATCAGGAAGGCTTACTAACTACTGGAGAGACCAAACTGGCCTACAAGAAAGACCAAATGAAGAACAGAATAGAGGCATGGGAAGACAAAGCACTACATGGCCAATACATGAAAAAATAGCTGGGAAAGCAGATAACAATAAAACCTGGCAATGGCTAAGAGCAGGAAAATTGAAGAAAGAG